TTTAAGATAATTCACAAAATCATCAACAAAGATATTGAAAAGTGTTGGACTTAAATTATCACCTTGTTTGACTCCTCTATTAGCTTTAAATTTTTCACTCATTTGATTGTCCTTTTTACAAGAATAGTATGTATTTGTATACATGTCCGTCAAAAGTTTGAGAAAGTTACCACCAATACCCTTTTTATTCAATTTGTATAAAAGTGCAGATCTCCACACAGTATCAAATGCTTTTGAAAAATCTACAAAGCACACATATAAATTCTGTTTCTTTGTATAAAGATATTTGTTTACAAGTGTGTTTAGTACAAATATATTGTCAGTGGTCCTATGACCTTTTCTAAATCCAGATTGATATTGACTTAGTAGGTTATTTGACTCAAGATAATTATCTAAGCGTTTCTGTAGAAGGCCTGTAAAAAGTTTTCCTAAACAACTTGTAACACTGAGACCCCTATAATTGTTTGTATTATTAGGATCACCATTTTTGTATAATGATGTTATAAGTGAAAGGTTCCATTCTTTGGGCATTTTTCCATTTTTAAGTAGAATATTAAACAGTTTTGTAAGGACAGGTAAAAGGGTAGTATTGTTTGTTTTAATAAACTCATTTAAAATTAAGTCAGGCCCAGCACTTTTACCATTTTTCAGCTTTAAAATGCTTTGTTCTATTTCATCTTGAGTAAACAAAAAGTCTAATGGATTTGGTTCAGTATTTAGTTCAGTGTACTTGTATTTCAAGCTCTCTTCATCAGTATATTGAATGTTCAGTAAGGATTTGTAGTGGTCAACGAATTCTGAAATTCCAATTGTTTCTGCATTAGTTTTCTTTGATTTATTTTCTTTTATCTTATTCCAAAATTTACTGGAGTTTTGTGGCGAAAGTGTGTTAATTTGTTCTGCAATACTATTGTAAAAATTAGATTTAAGACTTTTTCTTAGTTTATTATAATCTTTTCTACATTTTGCAAAGGCATGTTTTAGTTCACAGTTGTTTGGATATTTGTGTACTTTCTTCCCTAAATTTCTAACTTCTTTTCGTAGGAGTAAGCAATCTGTAGTCATCCATTTTGGTCTTTGTTTATTTTTTCGTTGTGATTTTGTAAATTTTGCAGGTTTAAATGGAACACTTTTATTAGCTGCATTAATTATAATACTTGATAGTTTATAAACAAGATCATTTGAATCATATGTGTTATCATCATATATTTGGTCAAGTAATTAAATTATCCAACATTAGTATTTGATTTTTAGTTTCTTCCTCATTAATAGCTTCTGCATATTGGTTTTTACAAGTGCTTGACCAGAGATATTTCCCCTTCAAAGAGTGCATTTTATATTTTTCATTGCAAAACACATTTGTGTTCATATTAATACTTGCAGTTATAAGGCAATGATCTGATATTTCTGTAGGAGGTAATACATTAAAATGTTCAATTTTATGATACAACTGACTTGATGCCAACATATAGTCAACAGTGCTTGAACCATTAGAATTAAAAAATGTAAAATAGCCAAGTGAGTCACCAAGAAATCTTCCATTCAGGATGGATAATCTATATGATTTGCAAATATCTGTAATTAGGTGTCCATGTAAATTTGATGTCTTATCAAGTTGGTTTCTGTTCACTGAAATGTCAGGTTCATATATGTATTCTGGTAGAGGGCAATCCAAAAATGTATCATTCAGTGTGTCATGTTGTATAAAATCTTGCAGCCCTCCTGTACGAGCATTAAAATCTCCACAAACAAAAATTTCTCCTTTGCTTCTATAGTTTGCAATTTCATTTTCTAAATTAGAAAATATTTCTTCCGATTTTGCCTTACTTACGTATGGTTTTATATAACAGAAGCAAAAATAATATAAATCAATATTCTGTTGTGATTTTGTATTTCGAGTGTTAATTTCAAGCCAAATGCTATTTTCACTTTGAAATACTTTTTTGAAGTGTTTGTATATTGTAGGTTTAATATATACATGTAATCCACCTGATGGTCTACCCCTTTTCTTTGTCTTTTTTGAGTTCAATACAAATGGTGGAGAAAATCCTGGAAGATTTCTTGTTGAATCCTTCAGCATTGTTTCAGCTAAACAAACAATATAATATTTTGTACAAAAGTTTCTTAAAAGATCATCATTTAACTTTTCATCACTGAGACCATGTACATTCCAGTATGCAATATTTAGCGATGACATTTCAAAATTATAAGAAAAATCAAGCTAACATTCTGACAGTGACATAAAAATATAAATGGCAGATACATATATCAAGTTTAGAACAACCATTTAAAACACAACCAGGTATATATTGACTACTCTTACTTCAGTTTTACAACACACAACCTGAGGAAAAGAGAAATAATAATAACAAGAGAGTATTATGACTTAGATAATGACTAGATTGAATGATTGGTATCATGCTGGTCTTCCATGTATCTACAAAAATTTCAACATCTGTTCTAGAAGTTCTCTCATTTGAGACTCCTTCGTTATTGGCTCTTGGACATTTTGGTTCCCCTGTGTTTTTTGTGGTTGATTTCGTTCAAGATGTTTATTCTGGTGCTTTCGTTCACTTGTGTTTTGGTGGTTCTTGAAATTATATTGTCTCCATTCTCCGCTTGTTTAGACATACAGGTAATATTTATTCTCAATGTTATGCGGCCGATTGTAACGGGAAAAAGCAATGTAGAGTAGCATTAACATTTTTAGATTAAAAAAATGCCTTTGTGTATATCATAAATACAATATTACAGAATTAATGAACTAAATTTAGATTAAAGAAGTTTAAGGAACCTGTCTTTTTTATGGAGGGGGGATTTATTGCAATTGCGCAAATGATAAAGTATAGGATTTGGTATTCCAAAAGAAACCACAATAAAAATCTCTATTCTATTTTTTTTTTTTTACATTAATTACATCGGGATCGTATCGCTCGTCATTTTGGCGCTCCGTAATTAACGTCAAATTTAACTTACGTTAAACGTTTTACTGAAATCGCAAGAGTTATCTCCCCCAGTGTGTTGTACGTCTTTAAAGTTCTATTTCTACAGTAAAGCTATTCAATAAGGCTATTATGACGTCATTTCCAATTCACGTCACCTTATGCAGAACAGATCCATTTGACATAATGCCATATATGTCTGTACACATTTCAATGATAAACAACATTTTCCTTTGTTTTTGCACTACAAAAAAGCATAATTACCCATATCTGACCCCCGACATGTGGAGCTTATGCAAAGTAATTTAATTCGCAGTAAATAAATTCGAATTAAACTCATTCGCATTAAATCGCCCGTGTGAACCTGGTTCAAATTTAATTCTAAGTAACTTAGGTTTAATTCGAATTAAACTCTCCGTGTGAACAGGGCATTAATATTTTTAAGATGACTAATACGTTAATATTGAATTTTTATTTTTTGAAAGATACATAGTATCATACAGGCCCGTAGGAAGCAATTTCAGTTTGGGGGGGGGGGGGGGCACAGCCACACATTTTCAGTTGAGGGGGCACTATCAACTACCAAAATTTCTTGACAAGCAAAAAAAAAAAAAAAAAAAAAAAAAAAAAAAACTCATCAGACGTTTTCATTGAGGGGGCACAAGCATATAGTATCTATGCTTTCTATAGTAATCTATTTATCGGCAAAATTATTGGGGGGGGGGGCACGGCCCCCCCCGTGCCCCCCCCCCCCGGTTCCTACGGCCATGTCATAACAGTGTTATTAACTGCAAAGGTGTAACGCGCGTTACAGTTTCTTTTTTACACACGGTCACACAGAACTTTATGATATTACATTTTTTTCATAAAAATAATACATGTAATTCAAAGCTTATAGTTATATTTTTAACCCCTTCTTGGTCTACAAATGTGATAAGTCTTTGAAAATCCCTGTATTATTCTTTGTGAAAGTTACAATTAAAGGAAAAGCCATTGTAACAGCTACTGACGCACAAACTGCTCAATGTGAGAGCGAATTTTAATTTTCGTTGATGAAGTTGCACTTGCACGTCCTTCAACGTTTATGACTTCAAAGTAAAAGTAAATAATCTTTTAACTTCCCATTCCTGGATATGACTTTTTGAATGCCGTAGCTTTCCACAATTTTTATCAACAAAATACATGTGTATGTCATGTGAAATGTATGTATATGATAATAAATTTAAATTTAGAGATTGACTAATAAAATTAGTTCCTTCTCCCAGATTTTTGACTATTCACAGGGCCTGCATTTAAAATCCATGGCATGTATCAGAAATAAGCAGTTTTATTGTTATTCATTTACTTTATACCATAAGATTAATAATCAAATAACACATAATAAGACTAAAACAGAAAGTTTATTATACACAAAGATTAAAGCAATTGTTTTATTATAACAACATTTTCAGAACATAATAGGACTATAGTAAGAAATCCATTACAAAGAATAATATTAGTTAAACACTAACTTTGTTACTTCATGATATCACATCGATAACACCGTTATAACTAGAATAATACCATCATCATAAATTATTATATATTTGTATGTACATATTTAAGTAACCTCACAATGGACTGAATGTCGTAACTTAAATTAACAATTTTAAATATACATGTAACACATCATAAACAAATCATGTAACGCATTCAGTGAGGTTTTATCATCATGAGCGTCTCCGTTATATCTCTACCATTCCTAATTAACGGATACCAAGGAGTGACCCAGTTTGCCGGGTACCAGGGACCGTTAAGGAAGGCGCAGTGGCACCAGTTAAACCATCAGCCTCCTCATTTGTTACTGTGAGCAGCACAGTTACCTCCACTCCACATGTCGTTATCCCTGTCATTTTACGTTATTTATTACGCTATGTGACTATATACAAAACTACCAATTTTAAAAAAACGTATTTAACACATGTTCATATCTCCAACTTAAAAAAATCATATTGAACTGTAAAGGTAAATTGTTTAACAATCTAAAAATTATAAATTTATATTTTTTATTGTTGCATATTATTTTAATTTTTTGAAGAAATCCATTACATATAATAATATTAGTTAAACAATAACTTTGTTACTTCATGATATCACATCGATAACACCGTTATAACTAGAATAATACCATCATCATTAATTATTATATGTTTGACTTTGTATGTACATATATAAGTAACCTCACAATGAACTGAATGTCGTAACACCATTGTAACTAGAATAATAACATCATCATAAATTATTATATGTTTGACTTTGTATGTACATATTTAAGTAACCTCACAATGGACTGAATGTCGTAACTTAAATTAACAATTTTAAATAAACATGTAACACATCATAAACAAATCATGTAACGCATTCAGTGAGGTTTTATCATCATGGCAGTCTCCTTTATTTCTCTACCATTACTAATTAACGGATACCAAGGCCTGTTCCAGTCTCCCGGGGACCATTGACCGTTGAGGAAGGCGTTGTTACAGTAGTAAAACCACCAGCCTCCTCTTCTGCTACTGGAAGCAGCACAGTGATATCCACTAACCCCGTCGTTGTCCCTGTCTGGTGTACTAAATGACATCCCAGACAGGTTAGCGGCAGGATTCCCAGTGTATAACATACTGTCACCTGAAAAATAATCAAAGAAAAATATATTACACAGACACCTCTTTCAAATTAGAGCATTATTATTTACTTACTTTAAAGCTAAAGAAAATCACACACCAGTATTTAGCATTATAAAACCTTTTAATTCATCCATATCAATCTTATTGTTAACATTTAACTTATCTACTTATATATAAAAAGAAAGGGTATTCAAACAATAAATACTTATACATTAACTGATAAGATGATGAAATATTATTAAATGATATTCTGATTTTTGTTTTTTGTATCTCTTATAACGTTTATTGTACTGGAAGCAATACATTTTTCCACTTTGTCAACACATTAATCATTAGGAATTTTTCAAATTTAGGTAATTAACTTCTTTTTCACTGTTGCTTTTGTATAATCTGTTAATTATATCTTCAACATAACCACTTAGTTACTTTATGATTACCAGCGCTTATTGAGCTTAATATAAAATATATCCTGTCCTTTTATATCAATGTCAATGTAATATTTTGATGATTTTTTTAGAAATAAGTTTACTGATTAAAATATTAATTCAAAAAACGTAGCCGGATTAATGAAATAAAAAAGTCTTGATCAAAATATATATTGTTCTTCAATATATATAATTGATTGGCTCGCACTGCATGAACTATTATTTTTATAGTTACGCGGAAAATCTCACATGCGGAATATTGATAGTCAAACATTCTTCCCAATTCTTACCTAACGTTCCGGTTGCTGGCCCTTAGAGAAAGAGATTGTAATTGTCTACCTGTCACCAGCAATAGAAATCTCTCTCTCTCTCTCTCTCTCTCTCTCTCTCTCTCTCACCTAGGGTTCCCGTCAGACATTTTTTATTCCTTTTACCTACCCAATGTCCCGGTAGCTGGTCCTCCAAGAAAAAGTCTGTAATTGTGCATCTCATCAGCAACAGAAAACTGGTTGTATAATTCATAGAGTTTTGTCCCATTACGCAATGTGATGGACACGTAGAGGGATGAGTTCCTTCCCTTGGTAAGCTGATGTATTACATCATTTCCTTCAATATGTTATTGTCGGCTTATATAAAGCATTAATATAGCAAAATATGTTAATTTCAGGATTGTTATAGTATAATACAATCACATAGAGTTGTGCGATAAACCATATTAGCAATATCCGTAAATGTTTGGCATCAACCTGAGGAAATTTTTATATATAACAGAAATTGTCATAAACTTCGTTTAAACTGAAAGAACAAAATATAAATTAAAATGTTAATAGTAAGGCAAATGATTATTTTTTAAGATATTAGGGGATATAAATGATTATTTACCAAGCCAGTAAGAGTCAGAAAGGTTCCCGAAACCATTCCTGTACTCGGCCCACGTTCTGTTAAATCTTACTGACCCGCTCAATCGTCTCTGGATTGCCTAGGGATTACGTGGTATTAATGAAAATCGTGAAACCTTGTTAGCTACTTTGTACTGTGAACAATGTTTCAAACTATCTAAATTACCTAAATTAGCTAAATTACATGCTATATTTTTTGATGATTTTTTAAAAATAATTTTTGCTTCATACAAAAATCCACGAAAATTATACTTTTCTTAACAAATACTTAAGGTAAAAATCTATGTTTTTAAATTCATGATATTTATATGCTATTTTACTCTATTATTAAAAATATTTACTCTCATAATTTTATTATCTACATGTAAGATAGGCTAGAAAAGATAGTTATTCCATGTTTATTCATTGCTAGTTTGTTTGAAGTATAAAGACTTTTTTAAAAATCAGTTTTAAAATCAAAGGCAAATAAACTATTAAAAAAATTAATAGTACTTGAAATTGATGTGAGAGAGAGAGAGAGAGAGAGAGAGAGAGAGAGAGAGAGAGAGAGAGAGAGAGAGAGAGAGAGAGAGAGAGATCTTACAGTCCATCCTCCATCTTCTGTATCCATATCACAATACACGCTAACCCGGCTCTCATTAAGGAAAGGATTTATTTCATATACACCAGATTTTGTATGTTCGTCAATGTAAAGTTCTTTACAATCTTTATTATAATTTTTTAAATCTGAAAGAAAAAGAATAAATATATGAAATGAAAATACTCCTCATAAAAGATTTACTCAGAGAGAGAGAGAGAGAGAGAGAGAGAGAGAGAGAGAAAGAGAGAGAGAGAGTTACCTTTCTTGATTTGCAACAGATCGCTTTTTAAATCTTCTACGATATCGGTTATATTTTCCTTGATAATCTTAAACATCTGATCAAATTCTTCCTTAATCCTATGTTGATTCTTTGTAATCCTAGCGTTTTCCTGTATTAAAGAATCAATCTGCCTTTTCAATATTTCTGTCGTGTGCTCATTACTGATGCAGTTATTTTTCTCATTACAATAAATTTGCTGAGAACTTGTACAAATGAACAAGCCGGACACGAAGAAAGCTGCCAACACCATTGCCATGGTTTTACTTGCACGTTGTCTAAACTAAAGCTTCTCTAAAAATTCCGTACTTTATATATCCTTAAACAGGAAGTTAAAAATTTCCCTGAAAATATTTCAATCATCTTCCCCTACCGCATCACTTAAATGTTTTGCATTGAATTTTAATCGACAATCAAGAAATAATGAAAGAATGATTTGCTTATCTTAAACGTCTGTTGTTGTTTATTGCCAAAACATAATTTCTTATGAAATTAAAAAAAAAAAAAAAAAAAAAAAAAAAAACAAAAAAAAAAAAAACAACATTATATTTCAATTTTGTTTTTAAATTTGGATAAGAAAAAAAACTATGTACTAGTATAAGGCGTTTTGTTTTTCTTACAGATAAGACGTAGTTTTTTTGTTATAGATAAGACGTAGTTTTTGTTATAGATAAGACGTAGTTTTTTTGTTATAGATAAGACGTAGTTTTTTTGTTATAGATAAGACGTAGTTTTTTGTTACAGATAAGACGTAGTTTTTGTTTTAGATAAGACGTAGTTTTTGTTATAGATAAGACGTAGTTTTTTGTTACAGATAAGACGTAGTTTTTGTTATAGATAAGACGTAGTTTTTTGTTACAGATAAGACGTAGTTTTTGTTACAGATAAGACGTAGTTTTTTGTTATAGATAAGACTTAGTTTTTTGTTATAGATAAGACGTAGTTTTTTGTTATAGATAAGACGTAGTTTTTGTTACAGATAAGACGTAGTTTTTGTTATAGATAAGACGTAGTTTTTTGTTATAGATAAGACGTAGTTTTTGTTACAGATAAGACGAAGTTTTTTGTTACAGATAAGACGTAGTTTTTTTGTTATAGACAAGACGTAGTTTTTTGCTACAGATAAGACGTAGTGTTTGTTATAGATAAGACGTAGTTTTTGTTACAGATAAGACGTAGTTTTTTGTAATAGATAAGACGTAGTTTTTATTACAGATAAGACGTAGTTTTTGTTTTAGATAAGACGTAGTTTTTGTTACAGATAAGACGTAGTTTTTTGTTACAGATAAGACGTAGTTTTTTGTTATAGATAAGACGTAGTTTTTGTTACAGATAAGACGTAGTTTTTGTTACAGATAAGACGTAGTTTTTTGTTATAGATAAGACGTAGTTTTTGTTACAGATAAGACGTAGTTTTTTGTTACAGATAAGACGTAGTTTTTTGTTATAGATAAGACGTAGTTTTTTGCTACAGATAAGACGTAGTGTTTGTTACAGATAAGACGTAGTTTTTGTTATAGATAAGAAGTAGTTTTTTTGCTATAGACAAAACGTAGTTTTCTGTTATAGATAAGACGTTGTTTTTTGTTATAGATAAGACGTAGTTTTTTGTTATAGATAAGACGTAGTCTTATATTACATTAGATTGTAAATGAAAGGCAAAATCCATTTTGTTTTTTTTTTTTCTAAATTAGCTTCCATTTTTGAGACGGCTAAAATATATCCAAAATTTTGACATTTCAAGTAAAATGATTAAGATTTCCACAGAAAACAATCCAAAGCTCTCCCTCATGTCTATTTATGAAGACGTCTGGTTCAATAATGTGATAATAAATGACAAGTACAATTTATTTTATCAATGCAAAAAACAAAAACAAAAAAAATGTGCAACTACTTGGTGATTTTCTTTTATCTATAAACATCATGCTATAAAATGCTAAAAAGCAATAAATCAGTACTATTTAAATTAATCTTTCTTAATTAAGGAGACCCGGCATAAATACGTAATTCTGAAGTAAGGAGACTCGATAAAGAGATTAAATTCTGAATAAAGAGATTCGACAAAGATATGTAATTCTGAATTAAGGAGACTATGCATAGATACATGATTCTGAATTGGGGACTTGGTATAGGGATGTAATTCTGAATTGGGGACTTGGTATAGGGATGTAATTCTGAATTGGGGACTTGGTATAGGGATGTAATTCTGAATTGGGGACTTGGTATAGGGATGTAATTCTGAATTGGGGACTTGGTATAGGGATGTAATTCTGAATTGGGGACTTGGTATAGGGATGTAATTCTGAATTGGGGACTTGGTATAGGGATGTAATTCTGAATTGGGGACTTGGTATAGGGATGTAATTCTGAATTGGGGACTTGGTATAGGGATGTAATTCTGAATTGGGGACTTGGTATAGGGATGTAATTCTGAATTGGGGACTTGGTATAGGGATGTAATTCTGAATTGGGGACTTGGTATAGGGATGTAATTCTGAATTGGGGACTTGGTATAGGGATGTAATTCTGAATTGGGGACTTGGTAAAAGGATGTAATTCTGAATTGGGGACTTGGTATAGGGATGTAATTCTGAATTGGGGACTTGGTATAGGGATGTAATTCTGAATTGGGGACTTGGTAAAGGGATGTAATTCTGAATTGGGGACTTGGTATAGGGATGTAATTCTGAATTGGGGACTTGGTAAAGGGATGTAATTCTGAATTGGGGACTTGGTAAAGGGATGTAATTCTGAATTGGGGACTTGGTATAGGGATGTAATTCTGAATTGGGGACTTGGTAAAGGGATGTAATTCTGAATTGGGGACTTGGTATAGGGATGTAATTCTGAATTGGGGACTTGGTATAGGGATGTAATTCTGAATTGGGGACTTGGTATAGGGATGTAATTCTGAATTGGGGACTTGGTATAGGGATGTAATTCTGAATTGGGGACTTGGTAAAGGGATGTAATTCTGAATTGGGGACTTGGTATAGGGATGTAATTCTGAATTGGGGACTTGGTAAAGGGATGTAATTCTGAATTGGGGACTTGGTATAGGGATGTAATTCTGAATTGGGGACTTGGTATAGGGATGTAATTCTGAATTGGGGACTTGGTATAGGGATGTAATTCTGAATTGGGGACTTGGTAAAGGGATGTAATTCTGAATTGGGGACTTGGTATAGGGATGTAATTCTGAATTGGGGACTTGGTAAAGGGATGTAATTCTGAATTGGGGACTTGGTATAGGGATGTAATTCTGAATTGGGGACTTGGTATAGGGATGTAATTCTGAATTGGGGACTTGGTAAAGGGATGTAATTCTGAATTGGGGACTTGGTATAGGGATGTAATTCTGAATTGGGGACTTGGTAAAGGGATGTAATTCTGAATTGGGGACTTGGTAAAGGGATGTAATTCTGAATTGGGGACTTGGTAAAGGGATGTAATTCTGAATTGGGGACTTGGTATAGGGATGTAATTCTAAATTAAGAAGACTCAGTATAGATACATTGTGTCCATGATCACGGCAATTTAAGGATGTGTCACTTTAGTTAGTTCAGGAAGAAAGAAGAAATTAAAATATTTGACTTCAATTTTTAATATAGTTTCTGATGGGAAGAGAATGTGCTGATTTTCATTAACCAAGTTAATATGTTTAAAACTACATGTTTTTTTTTTTTTCAAGGACTAGCTATCCTATTTTCAAATCAAGGATCCGACGTATTGCGTAGTCTACACAGCCTTAACAAGAATAAATATATGGGCTCAAATCTTTCGCAATTAAACAAAATAAATTGGGATCAGATATGAGACTTAAGGTGTATATGCACACATATCACGATATTTTTTTTAAATGTTAAATGTTTTAAGATGATGAATGTCAGACAATTTATACTAGAGAAAAATATAAGGAAAAGGATTGGAATAACCGGGAAAAATGTCATATCTTGAAGGTCTAAGAGTCCAAAAACCAACCAAGATTGGGATTTGCAAAGGAAAATAATTAAGATAAAGAGGTCTAAACGGAAGAAAAAATGCGAAAAAAAAATCATCAGCAAAGGCTGTATTTCCTGACGGTCGTCCCATCGTTGAAGAGAACCAAATATAGATAAAAGGACAGTAGACCAAAACTGATGATTTAGGAAATATAATCTCCTCTGAGTTAACTATATACAAATTTTATGGTGTTTATATTATGAAAATTAACACAAATTTAGCATATACACACACACACACACACACACACACAAAAAGTATGCATAAATTCTTTATATAATTTTTAAAATTTGGGTTAGAAAAAAACTATTTTTCTTTTAAATGTTATAAATAAGATTATTAATTTTGTATGTTTGTTTTTTTAATAAGCTTTCATTTATAAGACGGCTAAGATATATATGGGCTCAAATTCTCTGATGACTGTCGTCCCATCGTTGAAGAGAACAAGAGATTGATAAAAGTATAGTAGACCAAAACTGATGAATTAGGAAATAAAATCTCCTCTGAGTAAAGGATAAGCAAATTTTATGGTGTTTTTTTTTTAAGGAAAATTAACTCAAATTTAGCATATACACAAAAACATCATGCATCAGTATTTATTTAGTTTTAAAATTGGGTTAGAAAAAAAAAACTATTTTTCTTTTAAATTTAATAAATCAGATTATTAATTTTGTATATTTGTTTTTTTTTTAAATAAGCTTTCATTTATCAGACGGCTAAGATATATCCAAAATTTGCGCATTCTTAGTAGGTGATAAAGATCCCCTTCAAAATTAAAATCCCAAGCTTTCCCTTTGGCATATTTAGGAAAAGAATTGTTTCATAAATATTACATTTAATCAAAAGAATACATTTTTTTATGAATGCCATAATGTGATTAAACACCGGGTGAATTTTGCATATATAGATAACATGTTTTATTAAACTCATAAAATTAAATTAAAGAAACACAGCATGAACAGATGGAATCATTTCATTTTAAGGACATGTAACAGACGTATAGTTCAGTAGTTCAGTGGGAATAAAAACATGTAAGTTAAATACCAGATACATGTATGAGCTATGGTGAGATAAGATGTGCCGCATTACATTTTAATGCAATAATGAAAAAGGTAAAAATAACGAACAGTGATCAATCTCATGAAAAACTCTAATAAAACAAATCTGTAAAAAGGGCAGAAACACGGACGACTAAAAATTCCAATTGTTGGACAGGCGCATTTCGACAAATTATGTCTCTTCAGCAATGCTCATGCGAAACATTGAGAATTAAGATTTATTGTAAACTAAAATATGATTCAGAATTTTAGAAATAGAAGTCCAGACAAAAATCTGCTGCAAAGCGTAGGATATAACATCCTTAAACTTTCTCTAATTTGCTTTTGGTTCTCCCATCGGAAAGATTTAATTGTTGAGATCAGGTAAATATGTATGTTCTCTAAATGTAAGAAAAAAGCACTTTGTCTGGGCAATATAATCTCTGAGTCAGAAATTTTTCAAGGAGATCAATTTTGGAGAAATTGAAGCCAAATCACAGCAGATACAGCATATATGTCCACATTATGTACAATACGAGGCCCATGGGCCATAACGCTCACCTGATTAAAAAATATCACGAAATATGAAGTCGGTATTTCAGCAAGAAACGGCAGATTTGGTTTTAATATATACATACGAATTTGAAGTTAAAATGGTATGCACGTTGACGCAAAGGTTAACGACATCATTCAAATTTATCCTCGTATCTGAGTGAAAAAATAACATTTGCTGATTAGAAAACATGTCTGTATTTTTTAAAGAAATCATTTAGTTCTGTCGACGCTATCAAGATAGTTTCGAAGCCATTTCCAATGTGACTGAAATATATTGATCTACCTTAGCGTATCAAGTAATTGTGTCCGGCAACCTGAACTCCTATCTCTGATAAGATCTACCCTTCAACGGGCCAACTAATGAAAATATTTGGAATCTTCCTTTTACACACTGTAAAACAATACATTAGATAGACATGAAGTGCAGAAAATTTTTGAAAAGAAGTTCGAAAAATTAAAGATTTTTTTTCCTGATTTAAACCAATTTCGCCGATATCCTCGATTTATTTTTTTTATGTTTGACTGATTGTTTATGCATTTAATTGCTACCATGTAAAATATTCATCGAGGATTTATCAATTTTGAAGGGAAAAAGCAAATTCATTATCAATTGATCTAATTTTGATATGAATATTGGATCATTTTATTTATCGTTTAAATAATATATTTCTGAATGGTTTTTTTGTGTGCAAAGAATAAGAAATTCTAAACTTTTTATGAGTACATAATTGAAATATAATCTTTAACGTACTTTAAATAATATTTAGACGTATATTTTACCGTATATGTTTTCATTTATTATAAAAAAAAATATAGATAGTTGAACATTTAGCGACTACAAGTCAAAAGTTATTTTTACTTTCTTACCACAATAAAAAAGAAAGACATTTTAAGATACTGATATTATTTTCTAAATTGTTAAGAAATGAATACTGATATACTTATAAAACGTTCTTTAATGATGACAGAAATGAACTGAAATATAGTTGAGAGGGCATTGAAAAACGAATAAAAGACGACGGAAAGGACACTGAAAGATAACTGAAATATGTTCCATGAATGGAGACTACAATGTGTCTGTATTGTGCCCGAAACTTAACTAATAGTTCATCTGCCATACAGTGAATGAATACCACTGAAAAAACCTAACAACTAAAGAAAGCATTTAATTGTTTAGCTACCAAGGTTGCAAGGAAGACATAATCTATTTCATAATCCTTAGGAATGGTTATTGTTTTCTTTTTTATCTTAAGAAAGTGAAACAATATATATACTGTATTGCTTTATTGTGTTTGTTCTATTTCAATCATAAAAAAAATTTGGTTTTATTGCACACACAAGAAGACACAGCGAATCTGAGGAAATTTTTAAACTCCAAAATATTTTAAATAGAAAAAATGCAATAAACACACAACTGTAAGATGCAAAACACAAATGCTTGACATTCAGACATTATGCACGTACCACTCGGAAGTGTTCCTGAAGAATTCAAATAATAGATACAGTAAAGTACTTATTTCAACTAAAGACCATAAAAGGCTTTGAAGCATTTCAAGTTGGAAATAAAAGTAATACCGGAGGATGTATTATTGTCAATGCCAAACAGAGTTCAAGTAAGCCCTTGCAGGAAAATTAGTGCACACCAGAAATTGTTCAATATTCTTACAGGATTTGATTTAATGCTAAATCTGAGTAAACAACATTTTCTTTTTTACATTCTTGAAGGGTTCATTAAATGGTTTTAGTATCCTTTCTTCATCCTGACTATTTACCTGTTAGACTTTGTATCTATGTGACTTTACACATGTACCTATGTGGATATTAACCTGTTTGATTTTATGTCTGTGTGACTTTATACCTATAGGATTTTCTGATTTAAATATTGACAATCTTACTTATCAAATTTATGTAAAATGTTCAGCCCTTGTAATTCTTAGGTTAATCACTGTAGTCTTTATAATATTCTATCAGATATAACCATGGCAATACATATCGTTTTATTTTACGTATATTAGTATGAATAATAAGTCTCTTTGAACAAAGCATACACATCAATTCGCATGAATAATTTTATGACCTCTTTGCACTAAAAAGTGTCATATTTGGGGTATTAAATGTTTAAAAAGGTAATGAAATATTTCATTTTATCAGACTTTTTATGACCCAGGTGCTAATCGGTTGGAAGTACCCTGGAGTTTAAAATAATGAAAGAAAAAGTTGGAATGAGTGATGTAAATTTTGAGATATTGGTCAAAATGTGCTATATTCAGGCATAAAAAGAGCGATTTTTTATAGACTTCTTTAATATATTTCCTTTTCTTGACGAAGTGTGTAGAGTGAATGTATAAAATTTGTTTTTAAAATATACACTGAAATCAATATTTCATATTCCTTGCAAATAATAATGAGAAATATTCTCTGAATAAAAATATATGTGTCAAAATTTACGAGATATTTAATGTAACAAATGTATATATTTAAAGAAAAATGTTCTTGTAAATATCTTTCCACCACAAGAAATAAACCCACATAAATCTTGTTCCTTTATGACTTTATTCTTTATGTTCTTTATTCTTGAGCAGTTTATAAATTGAATATTGTATAATTTGCATTGTTTAATTCAAATATGTTATAGAAATTGAATTGTAAAGATTAGATTTGAAGTTAGAGGTTCTGACTGAACTTTTCTTAAAAGCTGACGTGTGACATACCTTAATAAACGTTCCCAGTGTAAAAGTATATTTTTAGCAATCTTTGTTATAGTGTATAAATTACAATTAATGACAATCGTTATTTTCTTAATTTTACTAATTTTATAATTTCCAGAGTGGCTTACTGATAATCAATTAATTAAGATCTCGGAGTTTTTATATAACTTAGACAGACAAATGATAGAAACACTCAAAGTAATTGACTCTTATAGCCCCCGGGGGTCAAATGTTTTAAAATGTGTGTTATCCAAGTTTATCCATGTAACATAAAAAAACGGCTTATAACTTTGAATTCATGAGAACTTTATATCATATAGGTAGACATATCCTCTTATTTTATCGTTGAACTATGAAATATTACAATCTCGAAATCTTAATTTAAAAAGCTCAGAAAAATGCTAAGGTAACTGTATTTCTTAAATATGAGTTAGAAAGTATATGAAGCGAAACTTTGGAAAAATATTTTTTTTTTTTTTAATAAATTTAATAAAATATTAAAGTACATGTATTTAATCATGGTAAAGGTTTTGGTTTGTAGCTGTAATAATTATACTTTATTAGTCCCGTACCGGTGAAACTGGAGGAGACTATAGGCTTTCTCTGCGTCTGTCCGCCCGTGCGTCCGTCTAGCTGTCCCTCTGTCTGTTTGTCAGTCTGTCTCACTTGGTTTTCCAGACTTTTTTTTCTAAACACTTGTGGATATTGAGCTGATTTTTGGTAGGTAAGTGTATCTTGATGAGTTACAGACCACGTTTGCATTTCTTTACCCTTCAATGATTTTTGACGGAATTACGGCCTTTTTATTTATTTATTTTTTTTTCTTTTTTTAAAGAGTTTTCTGCTATTTTTTTTCTAAACGCTTGCAGATATTGAGCTGATTTTTGGTATGTTATATGACCTTGATGAGTTATCGATAAAGTTTGAATTTTATTCCACTTCAATGATATTTAATGGAATAAGGCATTTTCATCTTTTTCTGGGAACCAGATTACACTTGCCGGTAGGGGACTAGTATTGCTAATGCAATACTCATAAAATGATTGTTTACTTTATTTTGTAGATTTTTCAATATAAATATTGGGTTTTTTGTTTAAGATTAAGGAAGGATTTATAACACAAAAACAAACAAACAAACAAACAAACAAACAAACAAAAAAAAGCTACATTAATAGAAAATACGGTTATAATTCAGTTCTGTATCTTATTTTATATTATTACAAATATGAATATTGTTTTTCTTTTTAAGAAATAAGGAAGAAATTCCAAAACGGAAAAAAGCAGTTATATTAGGATAAACATCATAATTTAAATCTGTACAACATCGTGCGTTGCGGTACTTTCTTGGTGTGCATCGGTTTACTCCAATATTAGCTATTCAAGGAGAAGTTGGTTGGCTCCCTTCATTTTATCGTCCTCAGGTGTATATTATACGTCTCTGGAATCGACTCGTTACAATGCCGGACGACAGACTTACGAAAAAAAAATTCTTGTGGGACCTGGAACAATCTTTATCAAACAACAGAAATTGGTCGCATATAGTAAAACTCCTATTTGAATCTCTTGATATGTCTATTTATTTCCAAAATCACATTGTCTGTAACTTAACCATAGTGGAAGAAAAACTTCGTCGGAAATTTTTAAATGCATGGAATGAAGATCTCCAAATCGTCCCAAAACTTAGAACCTACCGAGCCGTAAAGATTGATTTTCAAACTGAGAAATATGTAACAATGGACATTCCAAAGTGTCATCGTTCTATACTTGCTCAATTTAGATGTGGTATGTTACCTATAAGAATAGAAACAGGACGGTATAAGGGGGGGGGGGGGGCTTTATCTGATAGACTCTGTACCCTATGTTCTTCAAATAGTGTAGAAGATGAATGCCACTTTTTGCTTCACTGTACATCATATTCAAATTTTAGAGCAATCTTTTTTACCAGTATTGGATTTAAACCAACTTCATTTGATATTAATATGTCAGATTTAGACAAAACCAAATTTCTTATAGTAAATTTCCCAAGACAAATCGAAAAATTCATATACTCAGCATATACTTACAGACAGTCTATTATTTATAATAAACGCAATGCATAATATCACAGTACTGTTATTGAATGTTACATTGTTAAAAGTGACATATAGGCACGATGGGCCGGGTGTTTTAATTCCTTTTATATGTATATTTGTTGACAGTTGTTGTAATTGTACATAACACATGTCACTATAATAAACCATTTACTTACTTACTTACTTATATTAATAGAAAAAAAAAATCTACCACAACTTGAAGGGCTGACGTCTTAAAGACAAGGTCAGAAGATGCGGAGGAAAGGTATAGAGATAAAAAAATTAGTTGGAAGAAAAAAAAATGCGAAAATAGAAAAATAATCAGCAATATCTTTATTTTCTTAGGACAGTCCCATCGTAGAAGAGAACCAAGACAGAAAAAAACGTCGTTTGTAAACTGAGATAAGAGAAAAAAAAAATAACTGACATAAGGATTGACCTATTTTTAACGTTTACTGTTGTTTTTAACCAAAATTAACATAAATTATATGAAATTTATCGAAACATTATGCATTAAGTTATCTTATCTACAAATAAGAATTAATCTTATATATCATTGAATTGTAAAATAAGGACAAAATGATTTTTTTTTAATTAGCTTCCATTTTTGAGACGGGTAAAATATATACAAAACTTTGATATTTTCAGTAAGATGATTAGGATTTCCATGCAAAACAGAATCCAAAACTCTCCATCACGTCTATTTAGGAGGACGTATGTTTCATTTAACGTTCTGTGAAATTAAATTATAAGTAAACTTTTTTTTATAAGTGCACAAGAATTGAAACCCTTGGTGATTTTTTAGGTATGAACACCATGTCAAATAAAAGCTAAAAAGTATTAAAACAGTACTATTCAAATAAATCTTTCTTAATTAAGGAAATTCGGTATGGATACGTAATTATGAATTAAGGAGACTCGATAAAGGGATGAAATTCTGAATTAAAGAGACTCGGTATAGAAACGTAATTCTAAATTAAGACCAAAATTAAGACTCGGTATAAATATGTTGTGTCCATGATCACGGCAATTTAAGGATATGTCATGTTTGTCAGTTCAGGAAGAAGGAAGAAATCACAATATTTGACTTCAATTTTAAATATGTAGTTTCTTATGGGAAGAGAATATGCTGCATTTCGTTTACCAAGTGAATACAATCATGAAAATAGATTTGAAACTACATATATAGCAAGGACTCGCTGTCAGATTTTCAAAACTACGTCCCGACGTTTTGCATAATTTATACATCCTTAACAAGAAAATTAGTATATATATAATAAGCCTCAGACTATACAAAAAAGTGCTCAAGACTTTCGTAACTGGAAAAATATAAAGTGGGCGCAGATTTGAGACTATAATAGTACAAGCTTACATATGACATTTTTTATTAAAATTTTAAAAAGTTTGATAAATGACAGAAAATTTATGTTAAAGAAAAATGTATGAAAAATTGAAAATACGAAAACAGAAAAATCAGAAGCGAAATCTGTATTTCTTGTCCATTTTAGGAAGAGAACTTAAGGTAGATAAAAAAATGAAAGTGGTCCTTCGTAAATAATAATTAAGAAAATGGATTTTCCTCTGACGTATGGATAAACAAATTTCAATGTTCGATGTTGTTTATTGCAAAAAGTAACACAAATGTAGCCTATTCACAAAAACATTATACATCAAGATTTACTTACTTTTTTATTCCTTGGCTAGAAAGAAACTAAAGTGTTTGAATTTTATAAATAAGATCTTATCATTAATTATGAATATGTGTTTTTATTAATAAGGTTACATTTATAAGACGGCTACGAAATATCTATAATTTGGACATTTAAAGAAGATGATAAAGTTCCCAACCGAAATTAAAATCCCAAGTTGTCCCTTAAAACTATGCAGGAAAACGACTGTATCATAGATGTAATATTTAATCACAAGAATATATTTTTTATGAATGCCATATTTTTTTAAAGGCTGGGTGAATTATATATATATATATATATATATATATATATATATATATATATATATATATATATATATATATATATATATATATATATATATATATATATATATGTTTTATTAAACTCATAAAATTGAATTAAAAGAACACACAAAACAGATAAAATCTATTGAAAGGATATGTCACATGCGTATAGGTCAAGAAGAATAAAAGCATGTAAGTTTCAATGAAAAATTCCATACACGTACTAAAATATTTATAATAAGAGTATGGAGGGGTCCAAGAGATCCAGCTCTAGCATAGTGGTATTATTATGACAAGAGTAATATTATACAAAATACTCGACCTGAAGAGCCACGAGAACAAATTCAAGACCATAATGTTTGTAATTATTTTTTTCTGATTAAATATCGAATAATTCGGCTTTCAAAGGTTTCTCAAAATTCGTTGGATCTGTACATAATTTTATACCGTCGTATGTAAAATCCGTCCTTCTGATACAATGAACACATTTTGTGGTTTGTATCATTATAAAACAGGAACCGGGATAGGCCGTGTGTCACGAACACAAATTTATGTTTCTTTGTTGTATAACTTTTCCAAGAAGACTGATTTCGTTTTTGGCTCAAAGCAGGCGATAATAGAACACTTGTATAAGAATGAATATTGTCCTTTATTTTGTAAATGATGAAAAGATATATATACAAAACAGAGGGTCATTCATAAAAATGCTACTGAAGTAATAATACATGTGATGCCGAGTGCAATCATGACCCCTATTTTACACAATAAGACAATAAATATCTACACAAAACACAATGCATGGTGAAAAGGGACTACAGAGATTATGCAACACATGTACCGAAAATACATGACATACCCACTATAAAAACTTATTTATATATATTTTGTGAACAAACTTGATGCGTTGGAAAAGACAATAATCTTTAATCCACCCCTTCCCCGATATTAGGGTACACAAAGGAATTGTCTTTACTCGGGCTTCTAATTTGTTCTGTTTAAATATTTAAATTCCTATTTTTATTAAAAAAAAATTCCATTTGAATAAATTGAAATTACATGAAAAATGTTAATATTCACCGACAAGGACATTCTCCTTAGCATCACTTGAAACATCTGTAGTTGTAAACAGGGTACGAGCTCCGTTATTGTTTGTGTACATTTTACCGGGTGTGTGTTCAATTTACTTACTCTACACATATAACTGAGCACGGTCTGACAATTTAAGAGAGTTGTAGTTGCTTCCTCACGTATCAACTCTGAATTTTCTTGATTAGGGTTTGTTGTTGTTCAGTTATATAAACCTAATTTCTACTTTTTCATATAATAAGGATAACTTTTTTGAAGAACAACGATGCGTGAAAATCAAACGCGTACCGAAATTCATAGTTTTGATAATGTAGAGAAAAAAAGTTTCTCAACTAGCATATATAATAATTTTGCCTGAAATGTTCTAGCAACATATAAGTTATGATATTATACTGAAAATTATAAAACATTAAATATGTGTTCCAACTCCTTTAATGAGCCTTATTGAGTAAGTACAGAGAATCTTCTGGGTTTCTTACAGCAAAATAGTTTTATATGAATGCAATAAAACAAAACGATGTAAATAAAGATGAGGTTCTCACTTTATTTTCTCAGACAGACAAGATAAACCTTGAACATTGTGTACAGGTCAAAATTCCCCAAGATCATATATTAAGTATAAGAAAGAAAGAATGGAGAAAAATCCCCCTTGTCTAACTCCAAATGTCCTATCAAACATTTCGGAGCAAATTCAATTCAACGATACCCTCTTCACTATGAATTCTGAATTTTTAAACAAATGTAGCTCTTATTCCTACTATTCTGAAAAGTGCTGGGAGCTGGTTGTGCATTGTTTATTTATTAGGTAATGTAACCAGTGCGCATTACATATATGTCTGGAGTTCATAGAAAAAAAGGCTAAATTTTACACAATTCCCGACTATGAGGAAGTTGCTCCTTGCACTTTTCATGTTAAGGAATTTATCTCAAACGAAACAGAATAAATTTTATAGCGGAAAGATATCCGTATATCGTTGAACTTTTACGATCTACATATATATTCTAAATGTTTAACCTGTCATGTGACAAACAAACGGACAATCGCTTTGTCCGAATTCAGCAGAGGCCCCACATATACAAGTGCAAACACCACAATTCACATTCATAAAAACTAATGCTGTTGAAAAAATATTAAAATTGTATTCATTTTCTCTGAATATATTAAGGCTTATATATCAAGGGCGTTCTTAACCTAGCTGCGTTATAGTAAAACTTTATTTCATAGACAAACATGCTGAACCGAGTCAAATGCTTTCCCTTGGTCTTTGAACGCACAATATAATCCATTTGGTACGTTTAAAAAGTTCTTTGAAATAGTATAGCGAAAATATAGGGTCATGGTACTCATATCTCTGCGAAAACTTGCTTGGTATTCTAAAATTAGTTGTACATTATCAGTTATCTATTTTTTTAAATTTTTGTTTCATTAACAATTTTCAAATACAGCTCAGAAATTTAATCGGTCCATATTGCTTTGGTTCAGCACTGCCCCCGTAGTTTGTATACAGGGGGTTATGATTTCACATCTTGACCCCTGTTTTGAGAGAGAAAGAGAGAGAGAAATTACTTTCATTTCATTAAAATTTGATCACTTTATATTAGTCATTAGTGATAATTTTCATAAAGGTGAGAGTCATGATTTTGAATAAGGGTGAGATTATAAGTTACTATCAGATTACAAGCTTACATATGCACTAACTTTTCCTTATATGTAAAACAGAAATTGAAGATGATGAAGGACAGAATAAGTATCTTAAGTGGGAAAATGTATGAAAATTAAAATAAGGCAGGAACAAAATAAAGTACATTGATGGAAAAATCTAACTCATTTTGAAGATCTTGCTTAAACGATATAATTACTGTAATTGTTAAAACGATTTGAATGCTCATGACTCTAGGGACGTAACTTCAGTTAAGGACTTAAGGCACATCAGAGTGCCTTTACCTTCTCTTTAGGAAAAAATTATGAAAAACAACTAGATGCTGTCATATGACATTAATAGCCGCACAAAGGTGATTGTCTCCAACTGCACACTCCTTCATATATGGATAACCAAGGAAAAAGCCACAATGTTTCTATAGTTTACACAGTACAAAAATTAGTCAAACTGAGAATAACATGCGGCCCATGGACCTCTTATGAAGTATTTCATATACTTAATTCATTACCAGTTTGACCGTCCACGGTAGCTCAGTCGGTAGAGCGCTGATCCGTGATCGGGAGGTCGTGAGTTCGAATCTTGGCTGCGACTGACCTAAGTCGATAAAAAATGGGTAGCAACTTATCCTTCGCCATGTGCTCGGAACATTGAAGTGAAAGTTACGGGTCCTTCGGATGCGACCTTAAAAACCGAGGCCCCGTGTCATGGCAGGCATTAGCATGATAAAGATCCCTCACTGCTCAATGGCTGAGTGCCGAGTAATACGTCAAAATTTGAAGCCCTTCACCGGTATATGGTGACGTCTCTATATGAACGACGTAAAACAACATACAATCAATGAATCAATCATTACCAGTTTGAAATAACAGAAATTAATAAAAAATGTAAATTATTTTTTTTTTTTGAAAAAAGAGGGAGGGTTGTAAATTTTTGGCCCATTATTGGAACTTTTTTAATTCATTTTGAAAACAACAAATAATATTATTTCAGTACATAGCGTTTTTGATCAACTTAAAAAAGTTTAGAGGCCAATTAATGCTTTCAGAATGATCAAATTTCAGAATTGATCAACGTATCAAAACGTGGACCCCTTCTACGTGGTCAGCAGTGCAGCGATTAAAATACCCTTGGTACTATAGGCCATAACTGGCCAATACCTGCAAATTCTAAACTGGAGGTTCATTAAAGGTAACAACATAAGGAGGTCCAGGAAGGAAAGCAAATAAAATTCATAAACAAAGAAAGGAAACATCTGGATTCGGTTGTATCAATATTTAATGAATGATAAAAGCCTCATTAAACTGATCATTTTTAATATTTTATTAAATCCCGTTCTATCAATCTTTTAATGAACGAATCGGTGCATGATTCATTAAACTCCTCGACTTTAATGAAAGAAAGGGAGCTTCATTAAATGGTTATTAAGTGTGGCGACCAGCCTTATATTTTGCCTGCTAGGCAGACGGAGAAAAGGCAGTCTTTCGTGAGCGATTTTCACTGCACATTATGGACCATGAGGAAATTCTGAAACGATACCGTTTCCGTTAAGAAATTACTGGATATTTGAAATTTGTCGCGTTACTGGAACTAAGGCATTTCACAAATGGATTGCACTCTTTGTCAACAGAATTACAGGTATGAACATGTTTATTTCTGTAAAACAAATCAATTCATGGATAAAACACATTAGAAATCTCCACTGCGTCGATGTGTATTTAGTAAATCCAGAGACGTATTGAATAGAATAGAATAGAATAGGATTTATTACCAAATCAGGACCCAATGGACATAAGCATATAACATATATAATTACAGATAATACAACAAATAACGAAAAGCGGTTCTTCCATCTAGTACATTGAAGTTATTTTTAAGCTAAATACAGGATGTTTCAGAAAACATGCAACCATTTTGATTGATTACAATACAATGGTGTTTCAACCAATACCATCCATCAACATGCTATATTAAAGGGCACAATTTCAAAATTCATTCATATAAAAATGAATTTAATCTGGCAATCAGATAAGGAGTTACAAAAGAATACAGAAAATATGTAAATTTCACTTAGTTACAAAATATGTTCTGAATTGCGTCATTTTTGCTAAATCAATAAATCTATCAAATGCAAGAATTTTTCAATACTAGTGCACAGTGTCTCTGCGTAATGAGCCTGGTCCCATTTTTGAGCATTTTGAGTTCTCGTGTCGTTTGGGGTGGTTTTTATTTTTTATCTTTTATTTTTTATCAACTATTACCTTTAATATGCCCCCACAAATAAAAGTTAAGGGGGTATTAGTCAGGTTAGTGTGGAGGCCAATTGTTCTTGGATTAATTTGAAAGAGATGAGTCGTCCTCCAAACAATTGTTCTAACCAGTCTAAGGTGTGAGATTCAAATCATATTTCAGCATCCAATATACACTTGACTTACTTACTCGATTTTAAGTCATATTCGTTCACAAGCTCATTTATTTTGCCTAAGGTTTTCATGCCAGTCTCTGAAACGTATTTTTAAACATTCTTAATGTTTTCATGTGTTCTACTTGTCTTTGTTCGTCCAATTCTTCCTTTTCTTTAATCATCAACTTTGAACATGTTCTATTACTTTCAAAAGTTTTTAACAACTTTGTACAACTTCCATAATACATTATCATAATAGATTCTTCGAATTCTTGATACCTCATCTTCATTGTCCTAATCACACGAACTGGAGACATGCTTTGATAAAGCAGTTTCAGAACTTCTGATCTTTGTTTCTTATTAATTTCCATATTAGAAATGAAATCATCTGTTTTTCATGTCAAATATATGATGTCATCATTATTTCAAATGATAATTATTTCTCAACTTCTTGTTTTTAATAAAAACGTAAGCCTTTTTAGAATATTTTTATATAATACTTTTATATGATTCTGTTTGCATATCAATTAAGTGAGGAAAGTAAATGTTTGCATGTTTTCTGAAACATTCTGTAAGTAGATATAGCTTGTTATAATTTAGAATATATATGGATTTTTGATTGATTCAACTTAATGTGCAAAAATGTGCATTATTAAATGTATTATTAATGCAATACATACCTATATCTTAACACATGAAATATGTCTTGCACATCAACAAGAGGCAGCAAAAGTCCTTGCTAATCTTTGTTTAATATGCGACATCATTTCTGTCGTCATCATCTATGAGGCGAATTTAATATTGTATACATGAAACATATGTAGATAACGAACTGTATTCAAGTTAAAAAGACCATTAAACAATACAAAATAGGAGCAGAACAAACACAGACCTCCAAAACATCAAAGGTGGGATCAGGTGCCATAAAGGAATGAGCATCCCCTGCCGACCGGTCACACCCGCCGTGTGCTCCTTATCATGATCGGGAAATAACGGAAAAATCCGTCGACA